TACCTGAAAAGAGGAAGGTCAGATGGCTAATTTCACACAAACAGGTATGACTCACATAGTTGAAATGCCATAGTTAATATTTTAGTCTTAAAGTTAGTTTCTATAGTTTTGTTTGGATCTAATCCCCTTTAGGCTTTTGCAGTACCATCTCTGCTTAGGAAATTCAACTCAAGTCTTTGTTCCCACAAATCATGTGTTCTACAGGATTTTTAACTTGTTTATTTATTGACAAGTAATAATTGTACATATTTATGGAGCACAATGTGATGTTTCAATAGGTTTGGTTTGGTTTTGTTTTTAGTTCTGCTATTGGGCACATGCCCTCACAGCACAGAGAGACAGAAAGAGGGATAGTGAGAAATCACCCCCTAGGGAGAATGGCCACACCACAATCCCCTCTACTCCCAGAATGTCAAGTGTGCATTTTTCAATCTTCTGGATATGGAGCTTGAACTGACAGTCAACCATATGCCATCCATCCACCTTAACCATCACATCTCCAGCTGGCTCAATGATTATAACTTTATATCCATTGAAAGACAACTCTTATGTGTCCCCTTTCACGAACCGCCCAGCAAGCACCATTCTGTCGTCTGTTTCTATGACTTTGACTACTTCAGGTGCCTTGGTTAGTGGAATCACACACTGATTTCAAAGGTATTTCATGGATCAAAATAGATCTCCCTAATTTTTATCTGTCAATTGGTATTCACACATCTGTATTATAAGACCATAATTTGGGGGCAAACAGTGGTAGTAGTAGTTAAGGTGCTGGACTCCCACATGATTTACTGTGATTTGAGTCCTGAACTCAGCAGTTTGCAAAACACACTGGAAGGGCTGGCAGCTGGTGTGGTGGTTAAGGCACTGGACTCCCATATGGCTGACAATAGTTCAAGTCCTGGACCTGGAGGGCTTGCTTTCTCACATTCTCTCTCTCCTCTCTCTCTCTCACTCTCTCTCCCCCCTGTCTCATCTCTTGTCAAATTAAAAATAATAATAATAATAAATCATTTTTTAAAAAAGAGAGAGAAAATCACACTGGATATGTGTGCATGCATTCCCAAAATCCTGAAAGGAAATAGGAAATAGAAGAGAATTCTTGCTTTCTCTTTCTCTGTCTCTATCTCTCTCTCTCTCTCTCTCTCTCATGGTTTATGTTAAAAAAATTCTACTACTGACAAAGAAAACTTTACCTAAGTTAACAAAAATTTGAGGTGGGTCGATATACAATGTAATTGCCTATTAGATTTGATAACATAAAATATATTAATTTTTCACATGCACCAAATATATATATACACACACACGCACATTAAATAATTCAATGGTATTATGAAATTTTTATTTAAAATCTTGGATTTATTTAAAGGGAAAATAATCAAAAGAATAAAGAATACTCAAACCACAGAACAGACAAACAAAGAATTGTCTTTATTTGCAATAAAGTAAAAAGTTAACAGATCCGTAAACATATTCAACAAACCAGCGTGAAAATATTGGTGAGTAAAAAACTCTTTAAATTCCCATTTTGACCTTAGAATAAGTTTTTAGGTGAATGCTTAATGTGAGAGAAGAAACTGTGGAATGTGTCTCATGAACTCCTGTTACAAGGTGTGAATTGCAAGCAACCCATTCATCTCCTTCTTCCAAAAAATGCAGACACATGCAAAAATTCCACATTTCAAAAATTCCGTAAAACACCCGAAAGTCATTGTACATGTCATCACAACTCAGATTCTACTTTTCCTATTTCTTGAATTGCAAATTTCTGTGCACATTTTCTAATTTGACTGAAATCATTTTCTTTCTCCCATTCCTTCTTCATTCGCATGCAATTAGATATCTATTCCCATCACTAAATTGTTCACAATGATGCCCGCATTGCTAAGTCTAACAGATACATGGCTTTTTAACACGTTAAATAAATTAATGATAAATAACATTGTCAGGCAAGGAACAAAAACACATCAATCTCTCAGCTCTTGCTTGGTTAGTTTGACTCTCAGGTGATCTCAGGTAGATGTCCTTGGCATTCATTTTCTCTGAACGGGATCTGCCATACCTACTGGGCTGTCAGACTCACCTGTATGGGCTCTCAGTGAGGACAATCTTCTTGTGGAAGGGTGAATTCCTCCCTGAATGATTGGTGATGGAGACTGTAGCTGTGTCCTCAGGCAAGACACAATGAAAGAATTTAACATGGAACCCTAGCCAGTCTAGAGACTCCAGAAAAATCAACCATGTCCTGTCCAACCCAAGGTTGTACTCCTTGAGAGACAATGGTAGTTGAAATATTTGCAGCTCCCTCTCTCTGCTAATTAGGTTCATTTCCTCCTTATAACTACAATCAATCTCTTAGTACCCGATTTCCCTCATGGACACCGGTCTGGCAAGAATGGAAAATTTTCCTGTTGATTTGCTGTCCTCGAGAGACCAAGTCGGAAGTGTGAAGAATTTATCTTTATTACACTTTCTCTGTGAACATTCCTGCCTCCAAAGGTCATTAGCACCTTTCACCAATCATGACTTAAAATATAATTGTCATGGGTCAGCAGGTGGTGTTGCAGTTTAAGTGCTGGATCCCACATGGCCGAATGCATGGTTCTAGTCCCAGACTTGGTGGCTTGATAAATTACACTGGGTACATGTGCATGTGTCCAAAATCCTGAGAGAAGACTGGAAAAGAAGATAATGTAGTGGGACCATTGCTCCTGAAAAGTGATTTCTCACTTTTCCTCCCTCTCTCTCTCTGACTCTCTCTGGCAAATACACTTACTCTATGGCTATTTGATAATGATAAGAGGAATTTTAGTGTCTTTGTGTTGACTGATATACTTGGTATTCCTTCTGGAAAAAGTAATGTAAAGTTATATGTGATTCAATGTAATAAAAACAAGATCATGATAATAATAAATAAAATTTTAAAAAGAAATAAAGGAGCACAGTGCATACTTATAACAATGTATGATCAAAATGTTCGCTTCATCATATTTAAGTCTATCTTTGATTCTAAGGCCATATTGATTCAACTATTTGTTAGATTTGCCTTTCTATATACAAAGCATTTTGACTCAGATACCTGATAAAAAATTATTTTTCTTCATGACAGAATGTGTTGGAGCACATGACGAGAGAAAAGAAGAGAAAGTGTGAGGGAGACAGATAGAACAAGAGAGAAGAACCCTCTACTGAGCAGGGCTATTGCAAAGACTCTTCCTCCAGTGAGATCTCCCTCATCCAGTGAGATTTCATGCTGACTAGACTCAGGACTTGAACCAGAGTTTTCACGTGGCTTCCAGCTCTGTGTAGCTGCACCACAGAGTCTGAACCTGGTCATCAATTTTGACAGTGATTAAAGGAGGCAACGTGAACTCTGAGCTAAGTAACAGAACAGGATTTTAATGAGCGAATTACAGTCAACATACACCCTAATATATTAAAGTCTACGTTTCAGAAATATTGGAAGCAAGGACATACACATACATGAAAACCTGCATTTTTAGATTTGTTTATACTCTATATTACATTAATGGTGTTACTTGCCAAATGCAATTTTTTTTGCTTTCTAGTTGTTTTTTTCTTCTTGTTCTCTTTTTACATAGGCAGAATACAACCCCCAAAAGTTATTTTAGTAACATTATACAAAAATTGCTCCAAATTATATACATCACATGAGAATACATTATTTTTTATTTTATTTTTTATTTTTATTTACTTTTTTAAATACATTCAATCACATTATTTAGCTTACAAGGTGATCATATCAATATGTGAACATTTCTATCCGGTCGAGGTGATCAAAATATAACAACACTACCTCCCTGTCTCAACAATGCTATCTCCGTATCCCTCCTCCAAATGTTCTTCCCCAGGCCCCACTCCTCCACACACATCTGGCATTATTTTTAAGAGTTGCCTAAGGTGGACAGGACGGTGGTTAAGGCATTAGATTCTCACATGGCTAATTATAGTTTGGGTCCAAGAACTAGCAATATGCTTTCTTACTTTTTATCTCTCTCTCTCTCTCTCTCATTAAATAAAATAATAATAATAAGAGTAATCACTTAAATGAAATAAAAATAACTATTTAGTAAACAGAATTTTTTAAAAAAGAGTTGCAAATCACTCTATGAGTTTATGATACTATCGAAGTGTTTCTGATACAAGGCTAGGAATAACATTGGGAAAGTAGGAAGACATTAAAGAAATAAAAGGCTGGATAGTGAAGATTATACAAAGCTAAATACAGTGTTACTTAAAGTGTACACACTAGTACTTGCACAATCCGATCAGAGTCACAATTGTTGACTCTAAGTCTATAAACTCTGCAATCATGGGTATTGTTTCACCTCCAGGCCAAAGATTTTTCTCACAATTTCCATCCAAAGAATACCTTCAGGGCCCTCTTTATGTCTTTATTCCTCAGACTGTAGATGAAGGGGTTCAGCATGGGGGTGACCACAGTGTACATCACTGAGGCTGCTGCACTTGAGTGTGAGCTGTGGGTCGCAGCAGAGCTAAGGTACACAGCCATGCCTGTACAATAAAATAAGGAGACAACTGAGAGGTGAGAGGCACAGGTGGAAAAGGCTTTGTGCCTCCCGTGAACTGATGAGATGGCACGAATGGAGGAAAGTATCTTACAGTAAGAGTAGAGGATCCCAATGAGGGGACCGCCACCCAGCAGCACAGCTACAAAATAGATCACTATGTCATTAAGGAGGGTGTCAGAGCAGGCAAGGTGGATCACCTGATTAATTTCACAGAAAAAGTGGGGAATTTCTACATGTGTACAGAAGGACAGCCGCAATGCCATTAAGCTTTGTGACAAGGAATACAGGAGGCTCATGATCCAGGATGCTAGAACCAGCTTTCCGCAGAGCCAGGGGTTCATGATGACCGTGTAGTGCAGGGGGTGACAGATGGCCACATACCGGTCATAGGCCATCACTGTCAAGAGACAATCATCTACCCCTGCAAAGAGTGTAAAAACACATATCTGGGTGATGCAGCCTGCATAGGTGATGACCTTGCTCTGTGTCTGGATGTTCGCCAGCATCTTTGGGACGGTGGTGGAGGTGAAGCAGATGTCTACGAAGGACAGGTTGGAGAGGAAGAAGTACATGGGGGTGTGCAGGTGGGAGTCTGAGATGGTGGCCAGGATGATGAGCAGGTTTCCACACACAGTGATCAGGTACATGTAGAGGAAAAGCCCAAATAGGAGGGGCTGCAACTGTGGTTCCTCTGAAAGTCCCAGAAGAAGGAATTCTGAAATTTGTGTATCATTTCCTGGTTCCATGATGACTACCTGAAAAGAAGAAAATTAGATGACTAATTTGATATGAACAGGAATTATTGAAAAGCTGAAATGCCAGAGTTAATATTTTGCAGTCAAGAGGGGTTTTTTTTATGTTTTTGTATGGATTTAATCCCCTTTAGGCTTTCATAGTGTCATGTTTGCTAGGACTTGTTGTCTGACTTCTTTGTTCAAGAAATCTATGGGATTGGGAACCAGCAGTTAGCGTGATGGCTATGTCGCTGGATTCCCACGTAGTCGACCGCGGTTCACGTCCCGGACCCGGTGGCTTAAAACTCAGGCCGGGCACGTGTGCGTGCGTGCCCAAGATCCCGAGAGGAGAATGGAGGAGAAGGGATTGCGGCGTGACCATCCCCTCTGGGGGGTGATTTCTCGCTTTCTGTCTCTCTGTCTCTCTCTGTCTGCCTGGCGAGCACACGCGCCCTATAGCGAAAACCTCTCAAAAAAAAAAAAAAAGAAATCTATGGGATTGACAAATAGTAGGTCGTATTTATGGAGTATAATATGATGTTTCAATTAGATTTTGTTTTGTTTTAGTTTTACTATTGGGCACATCCACTTACCAGATGGAGAGACAGAGAGAGAGAGAGAGAAAGTAAGAAATCACCCCGCCACACACACACACTCAGAGAATGGCCATCCCACAATCCTCTCTTCTCTCAGGATATTGGGAGTGCATGCACACATGCCTGGTACTTTTTTCAAGTTGCCAGGTCTGAGTTATTAACTGACAGCCAACCATGTACGATCCAGCAGCCTTAACCACCAGCTGGCCCAATAACTGTAACTTTATATCCATTGAAAAACAACTCTGATTTCCTCTTGCACCAATATTTTGGCAACCACCATTCTGTCATCTGCTTCCATGACTTTGACTCCTTCAGATACCTTAGTTAAGTGGCATCACTCACTATTTTATTTCAGAAGTATTCCATGGATCTAAATAGATCTCTCCTCATTTGGGAGGTCAGCAGGTGTCATACAGTCTAACATGCTGGACACCAGCATGACCATTCATGGTCTGAGACCCAAACCCAGCGACCTGAAAAATCACACTGGACCTATGTGCATGTGTGCCCAGAATCCCAAGAGGAAATTGGAGGAAAAAAGGATTTCAGTGTGGACAACCCATGAGGGTGATTTCTCACTTTACTTCTCTCTGTCTCTCTGTGTCTCTCTCTCAGGTGAGTACATGTACCCTATGGCCAAAAAAAATTTGTCTCTCTCTCAGGTGAGTACACATACCCTATGGCCAAAAAAATTTTAAAAAGTATCTTGTTTACTACTGACATAGAATTTTTTTACATTAATAAAAAATTTGGAGTGGATTTGTGTACACAATATGATGGCCTATTAGATTTGATAAGACTAAATATTAACTTTTCACATTCACCATATATATATATAAACATAATATAATTCAAAGTTACTCTGAAAATTTTATTTTAAAACTTCAATTCATTATTAAAAGAAAAACATCAAAAGAATAACTATACTCAGACCACCAGAACATAAAACTACAACACTGGCATGATTTGCAATAATTTAAAAAGTTAACAGACTCGTAAACCTATTCAATCTTATCAGGATAAAAATAGCTGTAAGTAAAAACTCTTTAATATTTTCATTTTAACATGAGAATAATTTTTTTGGAGAAGTTTTTGCCATAGGGCATGTGCACTCGCCAGAATGACAGACAGACAGAAAGCGAGAAATCACCTCCCAGGGGAATGGCCATACTGCAATCCCTTCTCCTCCATTCTCTCTGGATCTTGGGCATGCACGCACACGCGCCCGGCATGAGTTTAAAAAAGTCACCGGGTCTGGGACTCGAACCGCAGTCGACTACATGGGTATCCAGTGACATAGCCATTACGCTAACTGCTGGTTCCAACATGAGAATAAAATTGTTCTTGTGAATACTCAATGTGAAAGAAGAAACTGAAATGTATGTGTCATGAAGTACAGTTGCAAGGTATGAATTACAAGCAACCTGTTCATCTGAATCCTAAAATTAAGAAATATGCACAAATATACTCATTTCACAAACTCCTTAACAGACCCTAAAGTCATTGCACATCTCATCACAACTCTGATTCTACTTTTCCTACTTTTTTTATTGCAAATTTCTGTGCACATGTTCTAATTTGACTGAAATCATTTTATTTCTCTTATTCTTCTTCACCCTCATCCAATTGGATGTCTATTCCCATCACTAAATTGTCTACAATGATGCCTGCGTTGCTAAGTTTAGCAGACACATGGCTTGTTAACATTTTAAATAAATTAATGAAAAATAACCTTGATCGACAAGTAACCAAACACATCAATATATCTCAGCTCTTGCTAGGCTGGTTTGGCTGTCTGGTGATCTCAGGTAGATGTTCCTGGCACCTATTCTCTCTGAACTCTTTCTGTGTACCTACTGCGCTCTTAGACTTACCTGTGTGGGCTCTCAGAGAAGATATCTTAGACTCACCTGTGTGGGCTCTCAGAGAGGATGGTCTTCTTGTGGAAGGGTGAATCTCTACCTGGACAGTTAGTGGTGGAGACCACAGCTCTGTCCCCAGATAAGACACAACGAAAGAATTAAGCATGGTACCCTAGCCAGACTGGAGATTCCAGAAAATTCAACTCTATCCAGCCAAAGGTTGTCCTCTCTGAGGGACAGTGACAGATGAAATATTTACAGCTCCCTATATCTGCTCATTAGATGAATTTTCTCATTATAACTTGAACCTCTTAGCAGTTGATTTCCCTCATGGACACTGGTCTGGAAAAGAAAGAACATTTTCCTGTAATTTGCTGCTCTTGAGAGACCAAGCCAAAAATGTGATGAATCCATCAATAGAGATTGATGTCCTCTGGGAACTCTCCTACCTCCGAAGGTCATTAGCATCTTTTACCAACTGTTGAGTTAAAATTTAAAAGTCACAGGTCAGCCTGTGGCATTGAGTTTAAGGTGTTGGATCCTACTTGGCTGAATGCGTGATTCCAGTCCCAGACCCAATGTATTAAACATCACACGGGGCACATGTGTGTCCAAAATCCTGAGAGGATAATGGAGCAGAAGGGAAGGCAGCATGGCCATGCCTTTGGGAAGTGATTTCTCATTTTCCTTCTGTCTCTCTCTTTCTCCACCTCTCTTGGTGAGTGCATGTGCCCTACAGCAAAAGCTAAGGAAAAGATGTTAATGTCACATACTCCATGTGTATGTCTTTTTTTTTTTTTTTTGAGAGAGAGAAATTTTCGCTATAGGGCGTGTGCACTCGCCAGACAGACAGAGAGAGACATAGAGACAGAAAGCGAGAAATCACCCCCCAGGGCGGATGGTCACGCTGCAATCCCTTCTCCTCCATTCTCCTCTCGGGATCTTGGGCACGCACGCACACGCGCCCGGCGTGAGTTTTAAGCCACCGGGTCCGGGACGTGAACCGCGGTCGACTACGTGGGAGTCCAGCAACATAGCCATTATGCTAACTGCTGGTTCCCTCCATGTGTATGTCTTGAGAAAAATATTACATGCTATAGAAATGCACAATGATTGAATGTAAATAACAAGTCATAAAATAAAATAGTGATTTCAAATCTAACTGAGGAATTTGTACTCACTAGCCCTTTGGATTTCCAAAGCATAAACTGTGGAGGAGACACAGCTGTTGGTATCTCCAGAAACTGATAATAATGCCATTTCCATATTGGAGATAACTGTGCTCACATGCTACAAAACCATGTGTAGTCACAATAATCCTTAGTTTCATGTTTTTTGACAAAACGTTTGGGAGTTTTACACTCATAACATGCATTGAGAATTATCATTTGGGGCTAACAGGTGGCATGGTGTTTGAAGTGTGGATAACTGTGGTTCAAATCCCAAACCCAACAGCTTGAAAATCATGCCAGGTACATGTGTGTGTGTGTGTGTGTGTGCCCTAAATCCCAAGAGGACAATAAAGGAGACTGTATTGTAGCAGCACCTTCTCCTGCGGCTGACTAGCTCTCTCACTCCCTCTATCCAACTCCTTGGTGAATGCATGTATGTAACCTTTGGCAAATTTAGGAATGATAATAATAACAATTAACAAAAATAAAAAATAATTATTTAAAAATTTTATTTAGGTGACTTGCTGTTGAAGATTGTCAAGAATTTTGATCAACTGGACTGGGGAGAATGTTAACATATTGAAATGTTCAGTTTGTAAGCTAAATAATGTGATCGAATGTATAAAAAAATTTTAATTTTAAAAAATTAAATTAAATTATATTAAAAATTTTAAAATGCCCAATAAAAAATTTTTATTTAGGAGAATGTTCATGCCTTTTAGTTCATTCATTTAATTTCTCCCTGGTAAGGACATTTTGTAATAAACTTCTAACTTTCCCTCTCTCTGTTTTTTCTCTGTTTCTCTCCTGCAAGACAAGCTCTATCACTAAAATCTCAAAAATATATTTTAAATATTTTTAAATTGGCATTTAGTCTCTCACGTATGTAACATTGGTTAATTACAAAAGATTCATGTCGACCTCTTTAGGTACATTGAACTGAGGTTGGAAACTTAGGTGGCTTGTTTTATTTAATTTTTACACAGTATCATTTTACTAGGACACACTATTAGCAAATTCATGAAACATTACAGAAATGAGACTCAGGATGGTTTAATCATGAACTGAGGATGGAGCTTTGATGGAAACTTCATCAAGATCTATCCAAGTCTGGGGCTGTAGGCATCGGACAAATGAAGACAATATAAATCCAAGAGAAAAAGGGAAAGACGTCATGACCTCAACTGTGGAAGAAAAGACAGTGCATGTCATTAACTTTTTTATAAGTTTTTATTTTTTTATATTATTTATGTTTAATCACTATACATTTCTATAGCATGTGATGTGAGTTCTCAAAGCATAACTGCATTGCATGTCAAGGAAGTCAAAGATATTAATGTTTCCATTCTTGTGTCTGTGAAATGTTCTTTTAGTCTTTT